GGGGTGTGGTCTTGCTGGGGTCTGGTCGTGCTGGGGCGTGGTCGTGCTGGGGCGTGGTCGTGCTGGGGCGTGGTCGTGCTGGGGTGTGGTCGTGCTGTGGTGAGGTCGTGTTGGGGTGTGGTCGTGCTGGGGTGTGTCTTGCTGGGGTAGGGTCGTGCTGGGGTCGGGTCGTGCTGGGGTGTGGTCGTGCTGGGGTATGGTCGTGCTGGGGTGGGGTCGTGCTGGGGTGGGGTCGTGCTGGGGGGTGGTCGTGCTGGGGGAGTGGTCGTGCTGGGAGGTGGTCCTCAGAATTCTATAACACAAAACAAGCGTTTCGCTCGAGACATCCTCACCATTTTCTGAAAAACAAGCGTTCCGCTCGAGACATCCTCAAATTTTAATTCGCCGGCTTGATTTATCATGGAAAAAATTCGCCGGCAATTCGCCGGCTCGTTATTTACCAGGGAAAAAATTCGCCGGCAATTCGCCGGCTCGTTATTTATCAGGGAAAAAATTCGCCGGCCTCCTTCAAGCAGGCACCGGGGGACAGGTTTACCTAGTACAAAGAGAACCCTGGGCTCTTGCCCTTTCCGGGAAAAAACTCCAAGAATGCTCAGAAATGCTCAAGAAATCGTCTCCAGATTATTTTGCGTCGGAAAACCCCGAATCACCACTGACTCATCATTTTTTTGAATCAGCGTTAGGTCGGGCACGTCCCCCTACAGAGGGGGATCGTGGACGAAAAATGAAACAAAAGTTTGAAGAATACTCCAAGAATGCTCAGAAATGCCCCAGAAATCGTCTCCAGACTATTTTTCGACTATTTTGGCATACTCCCCCTGCAGAGGGACAGGCCCGACTTACCGTCCGCGGCCGCGCGAGGGCCGGACGGCGGTCGAGCAGCGGCTCGGGGCGCGCCGGGAGCACGGCGAGGCACAGGGAGAAGAGGGCGAAGGCGCGCCGAGGCGCGGGGCGGCCACTCGCCATCGCTCGGACGTCCATTTTTTGTGTTTCTTTCGGTTTCGTGCTCCTCGATGGTTCTCGCCGAGAAAAAAATGCACACGTCCGAGCAATGCCAGGGCCAGAGAGGCGGGGGGGGCGAGGGAGGCGCACTCGGGCCGTGGAGGGCGCGCGCACGCCGAGGTGCACGCTCCAGGTCGGGCCTGTCCCCCTGCAGGGGGACGTCGGGCGAAAAAGGAAAGAAAATACAAAAACAAAAACAAACAAAAACATGATGGACCCACGAACCCGGAAAGGGATATAGACATGTGGAGCATGGGCACGTTTTCACGATACCCAACGGGGCAACACCTCACGAAACATCCCACGAGACACCTCACGAAACATCCCACGAGACACCTCACGAAACATTCCGCGAGACACCTCACGAAACATTCCAGGAGACACCCCGCGAAACATTCCACGAGACACCCCACGAAACATTCCACGACGACAGGCAACCACTCAACCAAGGCGGTGTGGTCGTGCTGGGGAGTGGTCGTGCTGGGGTGTGGTCGTGCTGGGGGGTGGTCGTGCTGGGGGGTGGTCGTGCTGGGGGGGTGGTCGTGCTGGGGGGTGGTCGTGCTGGGGCGTGGTCGTGCTGGGGCGTGGTCGTGCTGGGGCGTGGTCGTGCTGGGGTGTGGTCGTGCTGTGGTGAGGTCGTGCTGGGGTGTGGTCGTGCTGGGTGTGGGTGTGGTCGTGCTGGGGTGGGGTCGTGCTGGGGTGTGGTCGTGCTGGTCGTGCTGGGGTGGTCGTGCTGGGGTGTGGTGCGTGCTGGGGTA